TCTAGGCACAGATGGAAAAGCCAACTCAGCATGATAACCAATTGCTTATTAACAATGGAGTATACTGCTCTGCATTTCGCTTTGTTCTATAATGATGCTGTGAGGATAGCTATTTAGGTTAGAGAGCATGAGATGGCTTCAGGTATTCGATCACGGATGGCTTCGTAGCACTGGGTTTGTATCAATGCGCCGCCACATCAGTAACAATGAAGTCAAGCTTAAACGTTTGAGCAGATGATGAAAGTCAGTTGATGAGCCTATGAACCTTTATCAGTGAAGGTGACTAGGACATGCATTAAACATATCTGGTCACTGTCTTTCCTCTAGAACAATGTTAGCTTAATTACCTTTAGACTGGAATAGCTGAAAGGTGGCATGATCAAACCGCATTATCAGTCCATGATGCTCATGATTATGGGTTTGAACCGTGTAGAGAAATGTAGACTTCTCGATTAGTGGCCACGTGATTATATATATATATATATATATATATATATATATATATATATATATATATATATGCTCCAGTCGACCACAATCAGGAAGATCATCGGTGATAGTACGCAGTAAACTTGTCTTACTCCTATCTTCACTTCACTTCAAAGGCGTCATTTAGCCTTCCATTGTGAATCACTCCACATGTAGCATCACTTAGCATATAGCTGTTGAATGAGGTTGATGGAGGTTTGTGGCACTAAACCATAGTGTTGAAGTAGCTGCCTGCCAAATTACTTGTCTTTCGATGCCTCGATCGAAGGTTTTTCACAGTCGATGAAGTTGAAGTATGGATCCATTTGATTGCCATTCTATGCTATGTTCTATGATGATGCGTAGCGTGGTGTTGCAATTTGATCCTCACATGATTTGTACTTCCTGAATCCAGCCAGCACATCTTTTCCGGTAGTAATTTTGAATGCAGAGCATTTTTGAGTCTCTCCAGGATGATTTGGCACAATATTTTGCTTTGGGTGGACACCAGCATGATTCCTTGCCAGTTCTTGCAAAGACTTAGGTCTCTCTTGTTTGGAAGTTCGACAAGGTAGCCCTTCTTCCAATCCCTAGGTACCTTTCCTTCCTTGCAAACCTTCTGAAATAGTGTTGTGGTGTGAGCATGTCCGCTGTTGCTTCTGCCTACGTTTTCAGTGCTTCAGGTGGGATTCAATCTGGTCCTGCTACTTTCCCGGATTTCACGATTTTATGGTGTTCAGGACTTCTGCTTTTGTTGGAAGGCTTATGTTCTCTGGTAGTTCTGCGTCTGCTGGTGGTATTTCTGGATGAGTTGCAGTTAGTGGTGATGGTCGATTCAAGAGTTTTTTTGAAGTGGTCAGCCTATCGTTTCCTTTATTTCTCTTCTTTGATGGTACCTAAGTTTCCTTCACTATCTTTCATTGGTTTCGTCTGTGTTGATCCCTTGCCATATAGTAACCTGGTTATTTGATGTAGTGTTGTCAGGTCAATGCCTTTTCTACCAGCAGCCTGTCCTGCTTCACTTGCAAGTGTGTCTTGGAAGTGTCTTCCGTCTTTGCGCGCACTCTTCTTCACTTCTTTTTCCAGTGCCGTGTTTTATAGGTTGTGTTCAGTTGCTCTTTACGTTGTTCATCCCCGCATTGCACTGGTTCATCTTCTGCTTCACCATCTTCCTTTCCCTCCTCTATCAGCTTTCATGTATCCGTGGAGATCCATTCCTTGTCCTGTTTTTTCTACATTCCTAATGCGGTTATGCGGGTTTCTTTCCACATAGCTTTCAATGAGTTACCAGGTTCTTCCATGCAGGTTTCCTCAAGGATAATGCGTAATCTCTACCATTTTTCCTGACAGCTGGTGTGAAGAAGTCTATTGTAATTGCTTCCTTCACTTCCTGTTCTGAGTGTTTAACTTGAATTGTGGCCCATCGTCGACTTCTTTGAAGGCTTTCAACTTGATTTAGAAGGTTGCTTGCACTAGATAGTGAGTGGTGTGAACCTACATCTGCTCCCTTCTTGATCTGATCTTCTGTCCAGTAGGCTGGCTCCGTCTCTACTTTCTTCACATTGAGATTAAGTCAATCTGATGTTTAGTATGTCCTGGTGTTTGGTGAAATCTACGTCGCTTTATGAATATCATTGTGTTTGTACACACAGCCTTCAATCTCCAGATCGTTGAATGCACAGAAGTCTGCAAATAGTTCTTCATTCTCATTCATTTCACCGAGTGCTTCTCGACCCATGATCAGTTCTCTCCTTGTGTTGTCCGCTCCCAGTTGGGCATTCATGTCACCCCACTCATTAGAATTTTGATGTCGCCAACTTGGGTGGGGTCTTGTCCAGTACTGATTGCAGTTGTCTGTAGAATTCTTCCTTCTTCGTCTCCTCTTCACCTGCATTATTTGTAGCTGCGTAGCGTAGCACTGTGTGATTGTGACTTGCCTTCCTTTTGAGTTCAATCTTGCTGTCATTATCCTGATCGTGAAGGAGATTGGTTCCCACTGTATGCGAGTGATCCTCCGATGCTCTTTGAGACATCACGATAGGCACTCCAAAACTCAGTGTTTTTGTGGTTGTCGTGTGGGTGACAATATCAGAGTAGATTATTGACTGTTCAGTTGACAGTTTGGAGAGTCCCCTTCCATTCCATCTGCTTTCGCAGATTCCAAACACTTCTATGCCATACTTTCTCATCTGTTTTGCAATCTGGGCAGACTTGCCAGCCAGCTTCATACATGGTGTGGACATCTTATGTCCTCATGTTTACTTCCACTTTCATCGAGAGAAGACAGATCGGCCAATTGGCTTCCTGAAGACTTTCAACAACCGATGTGATTTCATCTCACCGATTGCAGTGGGGAATTAGTTTGCTTTTATTGTTTATATTTTCTTTGTGATTTGAAGTTTCTTTAGCGGTTGGATTTGTTTTCCGGAGTAGTGTTGCTAGCCCTACGTCTAATGTTTTCTCTCTATCCTGGCTTAGGACTGGCTAGTAACTAGTTAACTAGGCGAAGTGTAAAATCCTCTAGACGCCTTGAGTAGGAATCTGAGTATATTTGATATGGATTTTATATTTGCTAAACGAAATGTGGTGATGCTTCACAACTGATCTGCATGGACTCCTAGTTTAACTATAAAGCCTAAAGTGATAGAATCGATAAGCTACTTAATGGCTATGAAAGCTGCATCGGCCGGAAATTGTTAGACGTGCTGAAATCTCAGCTCGTTCGACGTTTACTAAATGAAGGCACAAATGAAGACGGCAACATGAATGAGTCTACCTATTGACGGACGAGTATAGTAGTCAGCATTTACGAGAAATTGCGCCACAAACATGAAGAAGTTACGTGTCTTTGATCATCGATATGATTATAGGACTGTCCATGTATGTTGGAATCACCATGTGAGAAATGCTCATGTTAAGGCGTGGGCAAGATAAGCAATTCAGTCGGTGGCTTTATGAACTTTTAACGACTGAGGTGACCTTGAAGTGTATACCGCATGCTTTAAATTAACACTTACCTCGATGTACGATAACAGTTAAAGTAGGATCGGTTTGAAAGGAGACTAATGTTGATGACAGAAAAATTGTGTCACCATTTCCTGACATCTTTGATTGCCTTTTCGAGTTATTTAGGATAGTGCAGGCAGTTTAGCTGGCTAGTGTCCTCAAGATATTAGGAGTTCTTTATGATATGGCTGAAAATTAGTCACAATAGTCCAGATGTCTACATCATTTATCTCCGTTGAATACTTAAACACTTCTATCCTTTCAACCTTTATCGATTTATGCTTTCTCCGATTTTTTACCAATCTACTATCATGTGTCCTTGTCAGTTGTTCTTTGTCATAAAGTGTGCTAACTTGAACCGATCCGTATTAGTGGAGCTGTGGCGCGTTGGTTTGTGCGGGTGTGTGTGGTTATGACTTTCAACCGATGGGTCATTGGTTCGAGTCCCACTCCACCTACCAATATTTGTACAGTCAGGTAGTGTCATCAGCCTTCACACTATACATGTGGCCCATTGCCTTCTGTATGGATGTGTAAAAGGTAGCTAAGTGGATCTGCTTCCACATTTCATAGGGTTTTACATCATACCATCTGTGTGTCTATCTATCTGCTGATTTGTTTTTAACCGGTGGAGAAGTTACTCACGTTCACACTATCTCTCCATTATAGATTCAGTATTCGTCAGTGTTTGCGTGATCATGTTATGACTCGAAAACTATTACATCCAGGCGGCTAACGAAATAAGGATATTGAATGTCAGCCAGCAGCATTCAACAAATTCCGAGTTGATTCCCGACACGAATAATCCATGGAGAAGGCACCACGAACGTTTAGAAACGTGTTTTTTCGGGTCGGAAGATCGAAGACCCCAAGAACAAAGAAAAATACAGCTAGTATATAGATAGTTCGCCGTTTAAAATAATCCATTGATCGACTGGTCCCCCGTCTGTCTCTCCGTCTAACTGTAGAAGTGGTAACACAAAACATTTCAATTGGTCCCTCTCCGGACTAGTCTTTTCTCCCTCTATCCGTATATCACCTCCCTCTTCGAAAGAATGTAATTTGGGGTCGGACTGGGCCACAATGTCCTTTCCCTCCACCTATCTGACCGACCCAGAGGAAGTTTATCCCTGTTCCCTGGAGGATCAATAGTCTTCTCGATATTCTTTCGGCGGGCAGATGTATGAGTGTGCAAATCAGCTATCAACTCAAGACGTTTGCCGACTGATAGAGGATGAGACCTGTGGCGATATCTGGAGGATGGATGACCTTTGTACACGTTGTGTGTGTGTGCGTGCGTGCGTGTGTGTGTGTTGGTGTCAAAAACCATCCTTATGACCCCCAGCACTACAGTCTGGGCATCGATGTTGTTTAGGTGGACAAGATTTGACGAAATGTCAGGTGCCACAATACCAGCAGAGACACCATGAGAGGACGATGGGATAAAAAAATGGATCATACGAAGTTAATGATAACTTCCATGCATTATCTTTTTCTAATATTTCTCCTCCCCTTATTTCTTATAGGTGCCTGAGAAACACCAGGGTACATTGGATATGAAATTTTTCAAGTACAATGCATCAATCGCACGTTCACCGGCATTCATTAATCTACGTGAAGTTTGTGGTCGACATCGATTAGATCCTGGTCGGTATGCAATTGTTCCGTCAACTTTTCAACCAAATGAAGAGGCCGAATTTCTACTGCGTATATTCTCAGAGAAGCCACAAACAACTCAGTAATTTTATCATCATTTTATGTGTGTATCGATTAGGAAATATGATCGTTGTTATAGTCATTGATCGGAAGAAGCCTTGCTTCACTAGAGCTTCATCCTTGTTGGCCTTCAAAAGTAAGGCTAGTCTACAAACTCGAGGGGACTGGAATCTTTTCAAAGATCCGAACCACGTCACACTCTGTTTCATTTGACGCCGTTAACATTTAGCTATCTGTTTTTTCAGTTAGTGTCATGTAAGAACGCATGTTGATAAACGTCAATTTTTCATTGGAGAAAAGCCAAATTCATGGTGATTGCTGAACGACTTTTGTTCATTATTTTGAAGTATGACCACTAAGTAAACAGACCTAGTATATCTGTACATCTTGATCTATGTAAGATACATGGCAAAATCTGTGACAGGAAAATGGGCTGGGTATATACCTTGCCGTCAAGTGCCAACAAGCACGGAATATAGGTTCTTCACCTATCTAGGAAGCACTGTTCCAACTACAGGTGGCGCAGACGAGGACATCAAAGCTAGGATCGGAAAGACGGCAAGACAGGCATTCATCAACCTGAAACCAGTGTGGAGATCTTCTGCACTCCACTCAGCATAAAGCGTGAACAACATCCAGATTTTCAACATCAACCAGTCAAGCCAGTGCCCCTATATGATGGTTGAGAGACTTGGCGCGTCACGAAAGGCATTTCCAAGAAACTAGAGACATTGATCAACAACTGCTGCCTACACTGACTCGTTAGTGAAGATCAGTTGAGATGAGATGGTTAGAAAGAATGTGGAAGAAGGAAGTTTGTCTGGCTGTTGACGAACCAACGAAGCGAGAACGTATTTTGAACAAATATGCAGTGTAAGGGAGTGGAGGTGGATTGTATTGGGTATGCAGTGAGAAGGTGTACTGGGAACATCGGGCACCAGGCCAGTTGGTGGAGTGGGAGGCGGATGGTAATTGACGAGTTTGGCGTTGGAGATGAGGGTGAGATGGATGAGATTGTGTGAGGAATAAATGAGAGTTTGTGGGCTGTGTGGATCGAGGTTGAAAAGATTTGAGAGAAGAGAGTGTAATGGAGAGGTGCTACTGAAGTGGTATGTTCCATTAGGAATCCAAGGGACAAATACTAATACTAGTACTACTACTACTAATAATAATAAAGCTTTCCACCGACTGCCTCCATCCATCTGACATTAATCTAAATACATTAGGATGGTAAGTTTTCTTGTTTGTTCACCTTTATTCAAAATTCTCGACAGAATTCATTTGGTACTCAGCAGTAGACAACATGAAACTGATTACCCTCCAGTGGCCAACTAATGTATAGGTGTTTGTTTTCAGCGTATCTAGTAGCGACGCTCATATAATTCTTGTATTTTGATTGGAGAACTCAGCATCTCAGACTTTTCTTCTAAGTGAGTGTATTCTTTGCCTGAAGCTCATTCGAATGGACTTTGTTGGCCATCATTTCTGTCTCAATAACATCTTCTAGTAAGGCGGCGTATCCTTCTGTTGAATGAGTGTAACTGTCGTTTAAAAGTACTTCACCAAGACAACACTGTGTTAAGTTACTGAAGGTTTTATGTACGGGGTTAGGACAACAACAGTGAGGTATTGGTAGTCACCTTTTGGGGTTCATGGGCATCATTTCAGAATGATGACATCACCAAATCTAGAAGGGGGAATTTCTACTTGGAGTAATAAATACAAAATTCACAACAACGCTGAAGGTAGAAGTGAACAGGAGATAGTCCACACTGATGTTGGGTGATGGTTGAAGATGAAAGGAAAACCTCGACTGCTGCAGGCAGGGTTCAAGCCAACAATCTCCGAGTTACTTGAATATCGATCTACTAAACCCAACTACTGATCAAATCTTGACTTCACTTTTATCACTGAAAGTTTTCGTTAACAGTCAGACCACTTAACTCAGTTGGTCGGTCACTAGCTTCAATCCTCCTGGGATCCAAGTATTAATTTCACTTCTAAAAGTCACCCGGTGTCCATAACCATCAGTCTAGTAAACTACAGCTGTCTCAGATAGGCTACAAAACGATAGACCGAAAGATAGGTAGATAAAATCAACGAAGAATCTGGTACACACGTCCATCAGCTCAGTTGCCACACTTTCCAGCAGTATCCAATTTGTGTGAGGTAAAAAACAATCTTAAGATAAAGGTTAGTGCTAATATTCAAGGTTTGGAAGACGTCAAGGAGTGAATACATCTGCGCCATTGTAACCTCTTTTCAGCCGTGTTACCTAGAGTTCCCCTCCACTCAGTCACTGATTGCGTTCGTCACGAGGACCCCAACCAGACTATCTACGTCTCAGTCACATGGCCCAGATCAATGATCAGGGACTGAATCAACTGATGCCACCTTTCGGTCCAGCCACCCTTAGCCTTCCTTAAACCCAATCTAACTTCTCTTAGCATTGCAAGTCAAGATAGTTGGCGGTTACTAGTCATGCTTAGCGCATATTCAAGCCACCTTAACTGTTGAAGGTTCATAACTTTATTGACTAACTTGCCTGTCTTGCCCACTACTCCTTCACCTAACTTCTATATTACTCACATGGTGATTACACCAAACGTGAGCAGTGCCACGAAGACACTTATGATCAACCGGTTCTAATCTTTCGCTTTTAACAGCCACTGTTCAAAGCTGTATAACAGGAGAGATCGAAATGAGAACATGTAGTTTACCGTGAATTAAGGATTAAACAAATAAGAAGAAGGCTTGTTAAACTAGTTACAAAATACTGCCATGAAATCATCTTCTGGATTAATTATCTTGCTGTGGAATCCCATCAGTTGTAGACTCCAAAAGGGTTCTTTACTTTTTCTATCCATTAAGGAATCTATTAGGCTGCATAAACTGTCGACTTCTCTGAAATTAATTCCAATTATGGTGAAAATTGATTTATCACCATTCTATAGTCTCTTTATCATTCCACCATCATATGTCAGTGATGAATAGTAGGAATAGTTCGGTATACACATTTCGTCTTGCTCGGCACTCATCAGCTGAAACTGCCTACATCTAAGCGAAGGAACTCGAACTTGACAGAGATTATTCCAAATATCATGACTTCATCCCCTCAGCTGCTGAATTATGGAATGCGCATATTGAGCACCAGAATGTAACTTATGACCCTTTCGAAAGAGGTAAATTAATTCATGTCACTCAAGTCGGACAACTGAGAAATATACAGAGTTTGAATCACGTATACCTGTCAAGAATTCAACTAGATCTCAGTGATGACCAATCGCACTTAAGTGTGGGCGGAGATTAATTGACCAATCAGGTCAGCACTATTTCAGAATGCTACTTTAAGTCACGAAAAGTGTTAAATTATTATTTAAGTATTTTAAATTTGTCTAACATGAGATAAAAATATTTCAAACTGTTTGACCTTGACTTCTAAAGTTGAGCTTTTAAACTCCAGTCATCTATTTCTCATTTCTTTATGTATGGTCAATAAAACACATGATAGATATTAGTAATTATTACTGTTGCATATTTTTCAAGCGACTTTATGTATTTTTACTCAAAGAAGTAAGAAACAAGAGAAATTCGGCAGTACATTATCTGATTATATGATTGAATGATACAGACATTCCTCAACTTTAACAAACGAACGAGTGACCTTGATGTTACTGGTTTTAATTTATCATCTGCAAAGTGATTGGTTGGTTGGACAACAAAGTGCGTCCGTACCTACGAGTAACCTTGACTAATGTTTATATGTATCCTAATTATATTTCAATCATGTTTTATATCTTACTGTGATTTCTGCCTTTTCATAGACTTATATCAGGCCACAAATTATTTTATTTCATTGAATTGTCTGTTTTTTTGCAGAGAATTGGATGAAGAGATTGGAGAAACTGAACCAACTGTAAGTTCGACCTATATAGATTAAATCACACTTATTTTGTTTGTAACATAGTTGAATAGAATCAAAAAATCATGCTGAATGACCATAAACTCAACACGTACAGGTTAAGTTTTATACGATAGTTTTCCGCTAATTGTCAAATCTATGAGATTACCTAAGCACGTTTTAATGCTTGAATTTAAAGAAATCAGGAGCCAATACCTCACTTTATATGGTTCTTCAATTAATTGTCCATTATAATGAAAACTGGATCTCGACGGATACATGGAAGCTGATAGAGGAGAGGAGGATGGTGAAGTTGAAGATAAACCAGTGCAAGGATTCACAACAAGAGGAGGAACTGAGTACAATGTATAAAACACTGAACAAAGAAGTGAAGAAGAGTGCACGGAAAGACAAAAGACACTTATACGAAAAACTGGCAAGTGAAGCAGAACAGGCTGCAAGTAAGAGAGACCTGACGACATTGTATCAAATAACCAGGTTGCTATCTGGGAGGAGATCAACACAGATGAAACCAATAAAAGATGATGACGGGAATTTAATTACGAAAGAAGAGAGACAAAGGAAACAATGGGCCGATCACTTCAAGAAGCTCTTGAATCGACCACCACCTGCACTTCGTCCAGAAATACCACCTACAGCCGCTGAACTACAAGTGAACATAAATCCTCCAACAAAAATGGAAGTCCTGAACGCCATAAAGCCACTGAAATGCGGAAAGCAGCAGGACCAGATGGGATCCCGCCAGAAGCACTGAGAACAGATGCAGAGACAACAGCAGACATGCTCACACCACACCACTGTTGCAGAAAGTGTTGGAGGAAGAGAAGGTACCTGGCCATTGATTGGAAGAAGGGTTACCTTGTCAAACTGCCGAAGAAGGGAGACCTCAGTGTTTGCAAGAACTGGCTCGGAATCCCTCTCTTGTCCACCCAATGCAAGCAAAATATTGAGCTGCATCATCCTGGAGGGGCTAAAGGATGCACTGGATTCAAATCTACGACCGAAACAGGCTGGCTGATTCAGGAAGTACAAATCATGTGCGGACAACATTGCACCACTAGGCTACGCATAATCATAGAACAGAGTATAGAATGGCAGGCAACTCTCTACCTCAACTTCATCGACTTTGAGAAGGCCTTTGACAGCATCGACCGAGAAGTAGTTTTGAAATTGCTTCAATAGTACGGAATACCACAAACCTTTATCACCCTCATTCAAACAACTATATGAAGACGCCACATGACAAGTAATTCACAATGGGAAGCTCAGTGATGCCTTCCAAGTGAAGTGAAGTGAAGACAGGAGTAAGACTAGACAAGGCTGCCACCTACTATCACCCATGATATTCCTGATTGTAGTCGACTGAGCTAGATCATGCAGCAAACAGTGGGGAGCGAGAAGAGGGGGATACGCTGGCTGTACGGGTGGGAAAGATCCTAGAAGATTTGGATTTCGCCGATCATGATTTATGTCTAATGTGACACAAACTTGAAGATCTATAGGCAAACACTAACAAGAGGCAGCGGAGACGGGACTTCAAGTGAATGTAGAGAAAACAGAGGTGATGAAGATACCCAACCAACAACTCCAACAACAACAACAAACTGCAATCACCGTCAACGGGGGAAACCTAAAGGAAGTAACCTCCTTCACCTATCTAGGCAGCATTGTTTCAACTACAGGAGGCACAGACGAGAACGTCAAAGCCAGGATCGGAACAGCAAGACAGGCGATCATCAACCTGAAACCAGTGTGGAGATCTTCTGCACTCCACTCAGCATGTGGAACAACATCCAGATTTTCAACACCAATCCAGTCAAGTCAGTGCTCCTATATGGTTGAGAGACTTGGCGCGTTACGAAAAGCATTTCCAAGAAACTGGAGACATTGATCAACAAGTGCTTACGCTTGCTAGTGAAATCAGATGGCCAGAAAGAATAAGCAACAAGGGGCTCTGGGAACGAACGAACCAAGAACTTATCACCCAACAAATATGCAGTGTGAGGAAGTGGAGATGGATTGGGCATACACTGAGAAGGTGGACTGGTGACATCAGGCGTCAGTTGCTGGAGTGGAAGGCTGATGGGAAGTGACGAGTTGGGCGTCTGAGGGTGACATGGATGAGATGGTGTGAGGAGGAAATGAAAGCTTTTGGGCAGTGTTGGATCGAGGTTCAAAAGATTTCAGAAAACAGAGTCCACTGGAGACGCGCTACTGAAGCTGTATCTTCCAGTAGGAACCCAAGCGACTAATAAATAATAATGGAAACTGTACTCCTCATTCTAACTCCATAGACCCTAACAGTAGGCTAAATGTCCTTTATGGGTTATTAAACAGTGAACGGTGAAGGAGTATGTTCTCTTTTAAGCCACGACACGTTTTTTCAAACAACCATTGACAAATGCCTAGGACACTGATATCGTAGAACTGGGGTTACAAATTGAATTTATATGAATTCATTTACTTGATGATCATCAAGGTGTGTATGGAAAGAGGAAGAGGATGTTTAGTCTACGGTTTCTCCATTTTAGGAATCAATCAGTTGTTCCCCAGATGACATAGACTGTTTACTAGTGAATACAAAAGTGAATGCATTGAAACATTTCCGTTGGAATATGCTATGTAAATATCAGTGATGAGAAGTGATTTCCAAGATGCTGTTCAATGAAAACAATGTGAATTGTTATTCAATTGGTGATGACTTGCAGTGAAATACTGGACGTATAGAATATATAATAAAGGAGAATATTTGTAGCTCAGGTGGATGGTCTGGGTTGTTTAATCGTGAAGCTTTCAGCTAGACGACATCATCAGCACTAACTTCAGTATGTAGTGAGCTACCTGTCAATATTTCTCCGTGAATGATTTAGTAGCTTGCTCTGACAACATTCTTCCAATTCAACGGCAAGATATACAAACAGATGAAAGGAACTCCAATGGGATCACCGATATCCGGATTAATAGCAGAAGCAGTGATGCAGAGACTGGAAGCCACTATTCTACCTGTGATCAAACCAAAAAATTGGATTCGTTATGTAGACAACACTTTTGTCACCATTAAAAAGGATGATATAGAAAGCATCCACAGTTTAATCAACAACTTTTTCACTGACATCAAATTCACAATGGAGAAAGAATCAAACAACCAACTACCATTCCTGGATGTTTTAGTCAGTAGGACAAATGTCGGAAAGCTGGAAACGCAAGTGTACAGGAAGCCAACACACACTGACCAAATCCTCAACTACAATAGCAACAATCCAACAATACACAAAATCAGTTGCGTGCAGACTCTATTTTAAAAGGGCGAGAACACACTGCAGCACAACAACTTCACGGAGAAATGAAGAAAATTACTTGATGTCCACCCTAAAGAAGAACGGATACCCACCAAACTTTATCAGAAGATGCCTATCCCGTACAACATCAACTACAAAGTCATCGACAGAAATCAACAAACACGTCATCCTACCATGCATAAAGAATGTATTAGAAATCACGACAAGATTACTGAAACCACTTGGAATTGGTGTGGCTGGGTCATAAATCAACAAATTCTCTCCAAACACTATTATGCGGATCAAAGAATGCAGCAACCAAAGAAGACAAACCGAATATCAACTGGAATAACTGTAGTCAACACTACATTGGACAAAGCGGCTGCCCTCTTCGCCTTCGTCTACATGAGGACACCAATTGGCTATTAAACGCCACGACATTTCGTCACTCATTTTAATGCACGTTGGTAACAACTAGACATGAATTCAATTTCGACAATGTAGAAATATTGCACAGAGAGAGGAAACACAATGAATGTCAGAGAATTTCTAGAAGCTTGACATTCAGGTCAGTTAGTCAGCAATCAAAAGGTGTATAGACATAGACCCAATCTATCAACCAATAAGAAAAATGATAAACGACAGAAAGGTGAGAGGTGAAGCAGAGGAACAGTAAACAGGAAAGTCTATACAGTCGATGATACAACAATCGAAGGGAACAACCTATCACAGAGCACATCGTCAGAGGAAGCTACTAAATCACTCACAGAGAAATATCGACAGGTAGCTCACTTCATACTGAAGTTAGTGCTGATGATGTCGCTGTCTACCAAGACGATGAAAGCTTCATGATTAAACAACTCAGCTCAGAGAACACAATACAACCAAGTACAGAATATGTCTACACTGTAGTGAATGATCTTCTGCTCATTGGGATTTGAATTCAGTGACCACCGTTTTAAAGACAAGAGGATTATACACTGCATCAGCAATCCATGAAAGTCATCTCGTGTTCAGTGGATATCAGCTGACCTCTGTAACGGTTTTTGTATAGTGATTTTCTGTTATAGACGAAGGAGTAACTGTCAGTCACAGTTTATCTTCAGATAACAGCTCTGTCCACTGAACACATGTGACTAGTTTTCCTACAATTTACAACTTGATATCGACTTAGTCAGTAAGTTATAAATGGGGTTCCCTTAGTTATCTTACTTTTTTTCGCTTCATATAAAGTTTGATGACTTCTATTCGTTCGAAGGTGAACGGTATTATCAACAGTAATGATAACCAGTATACACCGGTGATGGTTGAAATTAGAACAAGTATCTGATCATAGTGAGAATAACACAGTTACGTGTTACTCGACTGTTGAATCAAATAGTGGTTTGAAGGGATCTACTCTTTCAGTTGAATCGACCTGTTTACACCACTAATGAATTTATCCTTCAAATGATCAAAATAACCATGTAGTATTGAAGTAACCTGAACATTGTTGATTGGTTGGCAGTTCACTTACTTGATAGCGTCCTCGGTGTCGAATAGATTTCAATTCATGGTCATTAGACTTCAGTTTCTCAAGTTTACCATGTGCGTTGGTTCTATCCAACGTGGAAATAGGATTTTGTCAATCAAGCGGAAAAAGGTAAAATCTTCATATCCAGTCAAAAGTATTCATATCTCAATGTAGAACATTGGGGATTAATTGTATTGTTAAGTACAATGTCTCATCATTCAGAAGATGTTGTAGACGAATATTTGGCTTGTTTTTCTTCATAAACATTTCTACTTGTGAGAGATTTCAACTCAAAAAAGTTGAATTTTGTGAACCACTTTGAATATCTAACTATCAGCTTACAACACTCAAAGAAAACAGTCAACTATCGAGTTTAAATCGGAGCATTCATCTTAAATGTTGAAATGTACCCCCTGTTCCCCAAGAAGAATGAGTCGTAGTGAGCTAACGACTTACTCATATCGACGCCTGAATTTACCGAAAACCATGATTGCGAACTTGCTTGCAATGAAGTTTTAAATTGTTTTTATAAAAGGTAACGGTGTTTTTTGATGTAATTTTTATGTAATAATCACTTCTGTCTTTTAGGATGTATTGGCTACTGATAATCTAGGAATTAGCACGGTTTGTATATTATGCAATTGTGTAATCATCCTTTTTACTGTCAATTATCTTCCAGTTTGTGTGTGTGTGTGCTACAGCGCTCGTGTACTTGCTAGTGATAGTCGGTCAGTCTTATGGTTTCAGCTTCCTCAAAAGAAAAAAATATTTGTAGTTTGAGGTCTTATGAAGATTTTATGTTTAAGTAGTATTTATCACAAACTATTGAAAACCTGGGGAAGTGAACAACAGCTAAGTCATCCTAGATTGAGTCTTCTTTACGGTAAACATTCTCGATCCAGCCAGAGATTGAACCCATCGAGGACTTTGCTGAATATATGCACGCTACACCGCAAATTAACAGAAGTAAGGAACTGTGGGATATTGAATTTCGTTTAGTTAGCGGGTTCGCTGTGAAACCTTAAAGTCCTGAGTTCAATCTCCAGTGGGTTCGTGAGTGCTTACTGATAAGAAGTTCCATATTAGGATGAAGTAGCTATCCATTTCCCTTAGGTTTTTGAGGGATCTCCAACTGATATCAGTCTGTGATGAATATTACCCTTCTTCACAACTTACAGTGTGTGTGTGTGTGTGTAATCCTCATTTGGGTTGCAGTTTGTCCATCCTTCCAGGTATCACTGCTTATATCGTGTAGATTGATGCAGAGTTTATTCATTATGAGAGAATCGAAACTGTACAATTCTTGTTTTAGCAATGGAATTAATTGATGATTGAATATGCTTCCTTTTGTTTATTTGTATTCAACTGTGGTAAAATTTAAGCATATTTTTACAGAAAACTTCAGAAAGGAATAAAAGAAAGATATACATAACATTTTATGATCACTTTGATTCAAACAATACGAATCAATCAATCAGAAGAATGTCGTAGTAGATTGATCAGTCAAATTCCAGTTAGATAATAGTATGATGAGGATTTCCAAATCGGACGAAACGCGCATCCTGGATTTCTCTGCTAGTCACTGAGGTCACTTTAGCATCATCTGTATCCACCAGTATTCAGGCTTCTGCATACGAGCCTATCTACCAATAGACGTCGAGTAATTCTGGAAACTACAAGTACGATAACAACAACTGACACCCCGTTGCACAAGGGATGGTTATCTTGCCCCACTGGCTCAGTGGATGCGTTTGATGCAAATGGTATTGCGTTCAAGCCTCAGTGGTAACAAAATCACTTCACATTAAGGTGTAGGTGCATCCAGCTGACGAGTCTCAAACAGGATGAAACGCGCGTCTTTGATTCTTCTAATAGTCACTAAGATCAAATAGTTCAAGATTATTTATAAAATTTTGAGAAACTAACTGAACCACAATTACATCATTCGACTAAATTGATCTGGTTAAATTTGTTTTGTGTAAGATAGTTGGGACGACCTGGAAGCTTCTAATAACCTGAAACTTAATTGGATGGATATAGGTGTAGTTAAGGCTTAATATTGGCTAATGAAATCGAAGAGTATTCATGATGTATATTGTTTATTCATTCAAGGTGAAAATTTATTAGTGGGTGGATTTCAGTTTGTCAACTGAATCCTGATTACCATTTCATATTAAACGTGTTGGTCACAGCTGTTCATCTGAACAAATCGAAGGTATTTCAAGGAATATTGGTGGAATTTTTTGACAATGGAACAGTCTCTTTGCATCTACTAGCTATAGTAGTTGGTAATCAACAACAAGCTCCAGTCACCATGAACGGGAGAAATTTAAAGGAAGTAGCGTCCTTCACCTATCTAGACAGCACTGTTCCAACTACAGGTGACGCAGACGAGGACATCAAAGCCAGAATCGGAAAGACAGCAAGACAGGCGATCATCAACCTGAAACCAGTGTGGAAATCTTCTGCACTCCACTCAGCATAAAGTGTGAGCAACATCCAGATTTTCAACACCAATCCAGTCAAGCCAGTGCCCCTATATGATGGCTGAGAGACTTGGCGCGTCACGAAAGGCATTTCCAAGAAACTAGAGACATTGATCACAACTGCTGTCTACACTGACTCGTTAGTGAAGATCAGTTGAGATGAGATGGTGAGAAAGAATGTGGAAGAAGGAAGTTTGTCTGGCTGTTGACGAACCAACGAAGCGAGAACGTATTGCTGAAGAAATATGCAGTGTAAGGGAGTGGAGGTGGATTGTACTGGGCATACAGTGAGAAGGTGGACTGGTGATATCGCGCGTCCGGCAAGTTGGTGGAGTGGAAGGTGGATCGGAGTCGACGAGTTGGGCATCGGAGGTGAGGGTGACATGGATGAGATTGTGTGAGGAATAAATGAGAGTTTGTGGGCAGTAGTGGATCGAGATTCAAAAGATTTGAGAGAAGAGAGTGTAATGGATAGGTGCTACTGAAGCTGTATATTCCATTAGGAATCCAAGGGACAATAATAATAATCAACAGACATGAGAGAATATTTCCATTCAGTTTTAAAATAGGAAAGTTATCAGAGAATAAACTTAGTTTCGACGATGTCAACCTTATCAGCTATAGTACAATTGCATTTAGTGAGTAGAGAAAAAATATCAACCTAATTTGTTACACAATAATTCTTAGTAGGCTATTACGTAAAGAATGTAAAGTTTTTCGACAATGAGTTGAAATCAAAAGTTTTGTAGTATTACTGCTAATGAATCTTCTGGAACTTTTTGTCCACTGTCAGCTAAATGCTTTATACTGAAACTGTTGATTGATATGCTTTAACCTTTACCAAGCCTAATAAAACTTGTTATCACTGACATTGGAAAATATGACTCAGTATACGGCTGATGCATATCTGGCATCATAGAAACATGTGAATCGTTATGTGCACAATGAAATGACAATTTGCTTGTGTATTCACCATTCAGTGATCAGTATGTATGATGTACACAGTCAGTGGTTGTCTAGAATGTTCCATTGACGACAGCCTTTTATGAGTCTACATTTCAGTGCCTCATCTTTAAAATCTCCAATGAATCCCAAATTTAAACATAGCTTCTTCTCGGCATTGATAGTCAGACTATGGATGGCGTCCATTTACAGAGTTTTATCTATGTATCTCTATGAAATTTTATTACAATTGTACAGTTTCTGAGAATGATATTGCCTAAAATGAGTTTGCTTGCTGGAGTTCTCCTCTGAGCTGAGATTGACGCATTTTTTATTTGTAGTAGTAGTGTTTACAGTGTTTTCCTGCACTGGTGTTTGTGTATGCATTGGTGAGCCTATAAAGTGAGTGAGAAGGATGTTACAAGGTGTAGCAATATGGTGTTGTTCAAGAGGAGATTAACTATTTTCAATTGATTATTGAATAATTGATTTGTGATTTCCTCTTTTCTCAATTCCATTTTTTCCAGCTTCGATTGGATGATAATGTATGTTTCGTTATGAAGTGTGTGTGTGTGTGTGTCTTAGGTCTTTCCTCTAAGCATGAATTCCCTATGCTTGTGTGTGTGTGTGTGTGTGTAAGCTTCCTCATGCCTACGACTAGTTGGCACACGTATGCACAGAGATACTAAATAGATTTCTTATTGTTTGGTTTTTTCCCCAGTGTAAATATCCCCCTTGTTTGTACGCTATGCTATTGCACTGTCTATCTATTTTTGAAGAAGGATCAATGTTTTCTATGCATGTGCCAGTTTGTCTAATTCGCTCTATTGATTAAAATTACATTACTTCATCTTATTTGCTTATTTCATCTTATTTGATGTGTTCAATACAAACGTAATTTACGGTACACTTTAGAAATGAATCAGAATGAGATAACATCAAAAAATTTTGTTCTTGACTGTCAACACTCACTCATCCACTAAGAGAATTTATCCTGTCTTGAAGATGTGAGTTTAGGCCTTCCAGAGCTGATTATCTGAATGATACATTAGTACTCATTGATGTTTGCCTTTTAATATCTAAGAGGAAGTGAAACTCTTTCAAGGTTACTAGTATACAATGCTGGTGATTATTGTTAAACATGAAACCTATTTGTCAGGTTATTCTAACGTCATTTAGTCTGGCACAGATGTGTATCATTTCAAGATATCACACTTCATAGCATGACTACGTCTCATAGTTTTATAACAAAACAGAACACAATCTAGCTCAGTTTACTTATTTAACAGGTTGTCAGTTATTTCATCAATGTTGAAGATGTTGTAAGTTGACAAATTTTTAAAGGTTTCTTTTCTATCTAAGCTGAGATTTTGTCAGCATCCAACCTATCCAAGCTGTTGCAACTTTCAAAGTATGTTGAGTAGCGAATACATTCAACCACTTCATTCCCTTTGCTTAAAGTATGAGATGGTGTAGACTATTCCAGATGCAAAAAGCCCATATCAGAGATGCTCAGATTTATTTCCAAGCCTCAGTATCTTCGGCTAATAACCAAACAACTGAGTACACACCTTGCAGTAAGTCAGTCGCTTCGGAGTATGATGTACCTAGAGTTATGTTTATTAACTCGTTTATAACTGGATAAACAGGAGCGGTGAAAGAGGGCATCCTTGGTTGTCATCACTTCACACGACAACTCTCCATAACTTCATACATGACTGCATGAGTCCTAATGGAGAGCTTTGGTTAGCATAACATGCCTATTCAGTACTTTTTTGACCATCTAGCACTTCCAAAACTCTTCTTAGTTAACAGAGTCAAATACCTCCTTTAGATGAACAATTTGAATGTGTCGAATGCATGTAAATATGCCTGAAGCTTTCATTTAGTTTATCACATTTCAACCATGTGTACAAGTTTAAGGAACAAAAGCCTTTTGTTAAATTATTCTCACGATCTTTCATCTCTGAAAGGATTTCAGTTAGTATGTGCGCACTTCTCTCTATAGTACTGACCATAAACATCATGTTGCATTACTTAAATTATATTCATATTCACTGGGAAATATCATTTAACAGCTCTTAGTTGAAAATTAACATTCAATGTTTATCACATTCTGATTGGTTAGAATTATCACTACTCTTTCCAACCTTATTTTCCTAGCCTTGACTTGACCTTGAGTGGTTATTTTAACCTTATACAGTAAGTTGTGACACTGAATCAATCAATAAATATTCGATTTTCAATCCAATGAAACTAGAAAATCATATCCTACCTAATTAAGTGATTATATTGACTTCAACTATCTATTACACCTTGGTAAAGCGTATGTGTATAGTGTAGGTTGTGGTGGATTAGTTTAATTAATGATTAGATATTTTTGAACAGAAAAAAGTTTTTGTCAATCGAATCATGGTGCATTTTATCCGTTTGACTTTAACACTGCATTTGCTGCGAGACTTGATGGCCTTGAGTTCGATTCCTGGTGGGATGAGGGGTGCATACTGCTCAGGAGTCCCATACAAGTACGAAACAACTGTCAAGTACTCTCAGGTTCTCCATGATTCACGAATACTACTTGATGTATAGATACATTCTATTGAAAGGTTTCAGACAGTCCTGAGACCTAATTAGGATCCATTTGTGAATGGTAGACACTATACAGGGAGGAAAACTGGGCAACGGTGGTGTTTACTGATTCAACTATTCAAGTATTTTGTGATTAAGCCTATATATGGATGTACTTGTTGTCGAGAGTCAATTGGATCGTAGTTGTGACTGTCCCATTTCTTACACTTATCACTTACACTCATCAGACGCGTTAGGCGTACCTAAAACCATGAGGAATATCAGGTTCCACTGGATGTTCTGATCTCCACTAACGGTTTCTTAAGTTGTGAACTATACAGCTAGGCTGTTAGCATCATGATTCATCCTGTGTGATAGTAGATTGAATCTATGAGTTACTAACGGCCATATAAGCCGAACGCGTGTCATGCATCCCACTTATAGCCTCTATCCATCACCTACCTATGAAATACTCACCCTTACTCCCGAAGAAACTAAAGTTGTATGCCAACGAGTTTTATTGAGGTCAATTCCGTTTCATCTATACCTGCATATATACAGTATTTATCTTTAAACACCCCCGTTTTAAAATTGACGTATCCTTCATATTGTAATCTCGACACTTTCCTTGAAGGAGGTAGGAGCAGATATCCAGCCTGGACGTCGGAATCATTTTATGTTATGCATACCTGAAGAATCTTTGTATATTACAGTAAGATAGGTAGAAAAACTCTTGGAAGGTTAGACAGAGAGTTAGATGGAGATTTAAAGGCAGACAGTGAGATTATTCGGCAAGCGCTGCTTTAAAAGTGAATCGCCATAAGCTGTTATACTACTCAACATGGTACGTGGTTAAAATCACTTTAAATTCAGTTAGAATATCACTGAATTCATTCGCGTAAGTATGGTCAGTTTTAAGCTATCATACTGAAGGTCCCAGTTCATTTCTTCCTGGTGCCCTGACAGCACCAGCTAGATAGCCTCGAACTCAGACCTACAGATGAAGACTTGGTGTATTGGTACCATTTCTTCGTCTGTCTACCTCCAGCTTCCTTTCAATCTACGCCTACTTCAACAGGGAAATCAATTTTCAAATTGATAACAAATTACACTACCCATACTGATACTTACTAAACCTTAAAAGTGAGTTTTTCACCTACCCGTTGGAAACCATCCTACAGCCAAAATCATGGGGTGTCATCAGTTAACAAAACATACTACTGAGGAGGATAAGTAGTTAGAAACTAATCATAATGATCTTTAGTTCATGACACTTTTATGTCAGAGATCACATCTGAAGATCTTGACTAATTAGTGGTTTCCAACAGAAACCTTTTTGACACCACAGATGGGATGGCAGTTTTCAAAAATACTCAGCTGTTAAAAATATCAAAGTGGACCGTACAATTTGATAGAATTTCCTTGACGACAGAATCAGGAGGATTGATCGATCCAGATTAGTAAATCCATGGGTTAATATGGTGTGGTAAAAAATGAGCCCCAACAAGGATCAGTCCTGAAGCGACGATTAACGCTTTGCAAGCAACAAAATTACATTTAGATGGATACTAAAAGTATCAATCTTCAAAGCCCATAATAAACAGTTATTGTATAACAGTATGTATGACAGATCAGTGTTAGGTGGTTGAAAGCAGTCAGTAGGAAACTTTGAACCGAGGATTCGTACTTTTCAGCACTCATCAGGAAGGCAGGCCTTCAACATTTAGATAATTGATGACACCTCAGAGAACTGATCCTATGTCATCTAACCACCAAGTATCAGTGAAAGTTCACCATGATGACGACCGTTGTAGCTGCTTGATGACCACATTACTGAACGATCGATAGTATTCAGTCACCACATAGGGTTGGACAATATGGAATTGATTAGTCTGTAGTGAACAACTAATCAATGTATAGCTAGCTAGCTAGCTGATCAGCCAGCTAGTGAGTTGATGGTTATTTCAAAGTTAGATTAAGGAGAGGGTTATTAACCGGTGGATCATGGATTCGAAGCACCGTTCCATATGCCACGGTTGGAGCAGTTCTCATGCTATAGATGTGGCACGTCATCTCCTCACCTTTTGGCAGAACTAAACTTTAGTGACAGGAAATCGTACTAGCAACCAATCAGATTGGAGGTGACCTGTTCAAGGTCATTCGTTATGTCCATTTACTGTGTTCTTGATGCTTCATAAATATTTGATGAATTATACCAAAGATCTCCTTATGGGTTGAAAGGAAAAATTGGCAGATTAGTTAATGTGATTGAAATGAATAAATGCCTTGCTCGAAAAATTGAATATAACCTAGGAAGATGATTTAAGCAGGGTAAGCAATAGCTCAAAACGATAGACATTGGGTACTTTAATATGCCTAGATGCTTGGAAATCATGTGTGCCTCTATCTGAAATTAGGTTACCGTCACCATACAAGAAGCACTTGGTTGATTAGACATCTAGAATGCACACAAATAATTTTAGAATATAAAGAGTCGTCGTCCTTCAAATGGTATTGTCTCATATAAATTAATGTCATTTAGAACAGTGGTATCATTTTAAGGATTATAAACCTATTTGAAATCTAGATATGTTTATTTCTCAAGTTAAACAGATTCATAAATCATAAATGAAGTACCATTTACCATAAAAAGTACTTCGTCCTTCATATTCTTGATTATGATTGGTCAGTGCATACTTGAACGTGATTGGCTGTCACGACAGTTTAGGTTTACCTTTTTTTCTGGATCTACAACTATCAGGACTGTTGTTACGGAGACTGTAGTATCTAAAGAGAATATTTCGGTAGGTAAAGGTTCGATTGTTTGACAATAACGACATATGACGGTTATATGCGAAATACAGTGTTGGTGGACAGTTGGAGTGAGGGTATTCAGATGTTAGAGTTACTCATGATCATTTGTGCCATCTATCTATGGTGGCAGCATAATAATGAAGTGTTTCCGATTTCCTACTCACAATTCAGGGTTGATCATAAAAAATCTTGGTTTTCAGTAACATTTGAAGCTGCCCTATTAAACCGTGAACCACCACGATGTTGAACAGCCATCCACACCTGAATGTTACTTTGTGTATGCCTAAAACAGGACTCTATCGAAAGATTTTAGGTCATTGTTAGTGATTTGTGTTGTTAGTTTGTTTCGTAACCTAATTTCAATCGAAACTTAATCCCTTCAGCCTATCACCCCTTATAATTAGTTACAATTGGAAGGTAGATATGCCACTTGGATGAACTTCACTTCATTATTTCGAAGTTGGATATCTACGCTACCACTGAGTAGTAACACATTCAAGCGACAAGAGTAACTAGATATGGATTTCTACTCAAAACTTCATATTGTTTTCAGGTTCGTATTCATCATAGATTAGTATTAGTTGTAGGGAGATTGGGAACCTAGGAACGCTCTATAGCTGTTTCATTCTAGTATAGGACTCCTCAATAATGCGCATCCATGACCCCATGAAGGATCGAATCCGTGGTCAGCACGTTACCATTGGGCCACTGAGTAGCAATCTAATGGTACATATTTCCTCCTTCTGTCAGATATAGCGTAATCTCCATCCAGTGACGTCATTGAGTAACTGCTTTCATGTTCCAGTTGGTTGACCCTATCGGTCACGACTTCTTATTGGAACTTTAAGAATCCCCTCATGAAGCTAGTCACTAATGAGCACCGATTTTCTCACTTATATATACACGAACTATTACATATCTCCTTTAAATTATTTCCCCACGATGAACAAACCTAATCACTTCCTTGTGGTGTAATTATCCAATCCTGCGTGTATATTGTGTAGTGTATGTATCTATGATCGGGAAGACAGACAAAGAAATTTACGTCTTATGTTGTAGGCTGATGTGTAAGTGGTTTAGACCACTTATGAAGGAGAATCATTCTCGAGACAAAATGCCTAAAAAAACTATCTTATAATATACTAAGTAAATGAAACAGGATGTGCTTCAAATATGGGTTTAGATGAAAGGAAAAACCTGAGTTGGGATAGTTTTTCAACTATTAACCTCTAACAATTCCAGTCTGAAAAACCACATCAATCTCAACCCTTTTTTATCTAGTACAATGTACCACTTTTTCTTTATTGTGATATGATTAACTATTAATTTATTTTTGAGATGAATGGGGATTTTTTTTAACTTAGAAGTAGTATTCATCATGGACTGACATTAGTTGGGGAACTATTGAAATCTGGGAGCACTGGAAAGCAGCTTTTTCGTCCAACTAATATGGGATTCCACAGCAGTAGGCACCCACGACCCGGCTATGGATCGAACTCAGGACCTTCAGGTTTCATAGCGAACGCGTTAAGCATTCAGCTACTGGGTCATTCGGTTTTCAGTGGTTCACAATTTCCAACTTCGATCCATAGCCAAGTCGTGGGTGTGTACTGCTGAGGAGTCCCATACTAGTTGGACGAAACAGCTGCTTTCCAGTGCTCCCGGATTCTTAACGGTTCCCCAACTAATGTCGGTCCATGATGAATACTACTTCTAACTATTAATTTGATTCATACTATTTACTACTAATAAATGGGTATATAATGTTTATTGATTAAAATTACTCTATGAATGAAGAGTTAAGATTTTTCATGGTTCTTAGTATTTTCAATGATATACTCCATCTAGTGTATAGATTTGATTTAATTATATTCTAGGCAATTGTTAAACCATTGACAGATGTACAAGTTGAAGCTTTAAAAAAAGCCTTTAATAAAGTTGCTGGAGATGATGGTGAAATTGATGCTGAAGAATTACGTGATATATTGAATTGTGCATTTACTCGAGGTAAGCTGAAACTATATAAAAATGATATTGTAGTCAGTATTACTGACATGCTCTTAGTAAAGTTGATCTAAGTAATAGATGCATAAAATATACTGTGAATTATCAAGTTATAAAATACAGATTAGCCATTTGACTTGAGGTATTTCAGATGTTCAATTAATGAGGGAAGATATTGGCCCTATACTAACGCTATGACACAAGTTAACGAAAGAGGCGGATGCTAAATCTGTGGGCTGATTTATAATATTTTCGCTATGAGATCTGATCAGTTATGGGGTTAAGAGTGTAGACTCATTAAAAATCGAGAACTATGACGAAACAGCTGTTTATTTGCTCCTGTTCTTGAAAGTAAAGCCCTTAGAAACCAATCAGTTCCCCGTAAAGTATTAAGGTGAATAGTAATTTGTCTAAAACTAGTATTATACAAAATTTAGAAACTGTCTGCTTAAAAACTGCTGATCTCTGGTGTCAATATCTTAAACATTAAGCGTCGAGGAGATTTTTTACAACATCAATTGACAATTATATAACCGAATGAAACTTAATAGGGAAATTGTTGTCTAAATTTTGAAGAAGTCAGCTTATCAAGATGAATTAACCAGACTACATTTACAGTGGAGCTACTTTAATTTTTCAGCGTAAAGAATAACTGTACAGCTTTCTTTACCTTCGATTACTGAGAGTAGAGATGATTACAAATACTCCTTATAGATCAGATTATTGACTTTCTAATGAGGAAAATGTATTTCAAACGAAATGAATAGATTATTTTTATAAAGGAGAAGATGTACTGGAGCTGCGTAGTGTAGATCAATAACACCGTAAATGCCTTAGGTACTTGACTGTGAATCTTCATTGAGATCAATTCATTACCACCCAAGAAACGTCAACAATGAATACTCATCAGACTTAGTAGTAATGATAGATTATATTTACGAGTGGAAGTCATGTTGATACCACTCACTTACAGGGTGGGGGGGGGGAGGGTAGGTATATCCAGCTGACGAATCACATACAGGACGAAGCGCCTGTCGTGAGTTTCATTGATAATCATTGTGAATCATGACTCTCAGAATGAGCTCATATCCTAACCAATTCAAAGCACTCAGTGGCGTACAACGCATAACGTCTGTTAATCCACTAAACTGTTGACATTTCGTGTTAAACATAAAATATTTACTTCGCATGTATAAGAAATGCTAAAAGTCGAAATAGCCTATCGCTTCATGTTTAGTGTACGTAGATATTATAAAATAAACATGTTGTACTATACAATATCAGCTATTCCTTATACAGAAGTGGAATTATCCTAGTTCATTGACATAGAAACTTGATTTAAATGCTCAGTCAGTAAAGAACATGAATTCTACTCAATTATTCTTTACTCTGTGAAGAGAATTAATTAGTCGGCAAACAGTTAGCATAATCGATTAACACCATTTGGAAATAAAAAGCCAAGGACGAAATTAAGATTGGTGGTCTAGTGGCTAATGACTTGGTGTTTGAAGCGATCAGTCTTGCGTTTGAGTCTTAACTGAGATAACATCACTTACAGGAAGGCAGGTGGATCCAGCTGACAAGTCCCAGGTTGGACGAAACGTGTATCCTGGATTCCACTGCTAACCACTATCCATCATTCTTATGTTCCAACAATTATCCTCTGACTTTTATTAAGAACATATGAATGTACAAGAAAGTGAACAATAACAGTAATAATAGTTCGCATATTGGCGACAATGGGAGTAGAAAGGAGTTCACAACCTCCATTGTGTTGTTACCGTATAACGAATGAACATCACAAAGTTTCCGTAGGATTCTCGATAAAGCTGGTATCAGGGTGTCATTTCGAAACTTACGAACTTACTCACAGATAAGCTTTGCTGGCTTGAACATCCAACAGACCCAATTATTCAAACCAATTTTATCTACCGAATTCTATGCGGTGAATAATGATGTTAAGTATATAGGTGAAACTAGTTGATCGAGGTCAGTTAGACTACCGGAACATAGGAAGTTAGCTAAATATAGAATGACAGATCCTAATAAGACGAATAAGCTAGAAAAGAAAATCTCGGCTATTGTAATGCATGGATTAACATACAACCCCATAATAGGATGGGATAAAACCATTGTATCTGAGTCTTATGTAATTCTTTTCTGTGTTTCTATTCCTTGTTTAAGTCCTTACACTGACTTGTCAATTTTTCAGCCCTGTCATTTAGATATTTGCCTAAACCTGCCTTAACTGACTGAAACTGGATGAAATGACTTTAAGTCTATCTACCTACCTACTTACCTACCCACCTACCTACCCACTTACCTACCTACCTACCTACCTACCTGTTAGAATGTGTTAATTTCCTGTACATAATAGTTTACAAACCATCGAAGTCTATCCTTTGTTTTACTTGAAGTTCAAAATAGGCAATTCGCCTTCTTCATTTTCTCCTTCGTAAGTGAATTGGATTGCACCTGTGTGAGAAAAGTGTTGATATTTTCCGATATAATCAACACAGTAGTAAATGTGTCAGCAACATATTGTCATCATATCTTAGGTGCAGGATTAAATGGTCGTAAATTTATGCAATGATTGTAAGGTCAAATACGTAGATAAAACTAGTCGGTCTTGGTAAATTGGATTAGCGGAACACAGGAATTTAGCTAAATATAGAACAACAGATCCCGATTATTGCAATGTGTGCTTTAACACACAAATAAACAATAGGGATGGAGTGGGATAAAACCACTGTTTATATTATTATTATTAATCCCTTGGGTTCCTAATGGAACATAGGGCTTCAGTAGCACGTCTCCAGTGACCTCTGTTCTCTGAGATCTTTTGAACCTGGTTCCACGACAGCCCAGAAGCTCTCATTTCCTCCTCACACGATCTCCTCCATGTCACCCTCACGCCAGACGCCCAACTCGTCGCTTCCCATGGGGATTCAACTCGAGCAACTGGCCTGATGCGTGATGTCCCCAGTCGGCTTTCTCAGTGTATGCCCAATCCATCTCCACTTCCTTCTACATATTTGTTGAGCCATAGGTTCTTGGTTGGTTCGTTCCCAGAGCTTCTTGTTGCTTATTCTTTCTGGCAATCCATCTGATCTTCAGTAGCGAGCCAGCGTAAGCAGTTGTTGATGAATGTCTGTAGTTTATTGGAAATCCCTTTCGTAACGCGCCAAGTCTCTCAACCATCACACAGAAGCACTGACTTGACTTAGTTGGTGTTGAAAATCCGCATCTTGTTCTATATGCTGAGTGCAGAAGATCTCCACACTAGTTTCAGGTTAATGAACGCCTGTCTTGCTTTTCCAATTCTGACTTTGACATCGTCGTCTGTGCCTGTCCCGCCTGTAGTTGAAACAGTGCTTCCTATATAGGTGAAGGAGGTTACTTCCTTTAAGTTTCTCCCGTTGATGGTGACTGGAGATAAAACCACTGTACTGAAGTCCAATAGAATTAGGTGAACAAGGACGTAAATTGATCACTGAATCTTTTGTTCATCGAATTAACACCCAATATATGTGTAATAGGAATGATGTAGCACTACTACCAATAATAACAAACAATATGGGATGACAGGATCATAAAAATCACTCACTGTGTATTATACATATCAGATAAACAAATCTAATATGCAATTACGTTCTACTATAATGCCCAAGCTTTACACATTCAATAAGGCATGCATTTGTTTGTATTCCAAGGAAGTGAGATAAGTGACTTTAGAGACCACCTTCACTTAGATAATCAATTAAGTTTCTTCATAATATGTAAAACTACCTAATTAGTTATTTCAACAGTTATTATTATTATTATATTATTTATCCCTTGAGTTCCTTCCTAGTGGAACATAGGGCTTCAGTAGCACGTCTCCAGTGCACTCTCTTCTCTCCAATCTTTTCAACCTGTGGCCACGACTGCCCATAACCTCTCATTTCTTCCTCATACGATCTCCTCCATATCACCCTCGGACGCCCAACTCGTTGTTTCCCATCTGGGTTCCACTCGAGCAACTGGCCTGGCGACTGATGTCCCCAGTCGGCCTTCTCAGTGTATGCCCAATCCTATTCATCTCCACTCCCTTCCACAGCATATTTGTTCAGCGATAGGTTCTTGCTTCATTGGTTCGTCACCAGTCAGAGTTCCTTGTTGCTTATTCTTTCTGGCCATTTGATCTTCAGTAACCCAATCGGTTATTTCAGCAATTATTAGGGTGACCTTTAAAAGGAGTTTGCAAACATATGTTTTAAAAGTTATCATCATTATTCATCATAATATTGAGTTTCGAGTCATGTGTTGAATATATATATACAATAGATTGTTATTCTATTGTCAAACCGTACGGTAACTATGGTAACCGTAACTGGGAGGAAAAAACCTAGTTAGAATCTGTTCTTTAGTATAAAAAGGTAATTTTATTTCATTAAAAGTATAATTGATGGTATCTTAACTGTGTGTTTCTTTCTGGTTGATAATAAGGATATGATAAGAATACTAGGTGATGATAATTGAGGGTAAAATGAAGAGCTGAGGATTCGAACTAATGACCAACTGACTAAAGGTTTTTTCCAAATCTGATGGGTGATTTGAATTTTGGTGTGGTCAAGATTTTCATTTCACTTTCAATCATCACCGACTAGTGTTAATACACTTGAATCAAGTCACAGCTGCTATCTCAGATTGTCAAAACGATACTTATTAGAACTCGATGTTCAATGATCAAGGTGTTAAAGGAGCTAGATGGAAGTTTTTCAGTATGAAATGAATGACTGAATTTAATTTCAACATTTACAGGTTGTGATACTAATGGATTGTTGCATAAAATCTGTGGGGATAAACAAGATTGTTTCACAGGTATGCAGTGTCCGGATACTCTGCAAAATCTCAGAAATGGACCACATGTTGTTTAGGTAATATCACCTACCTTATAAAGAAATGAAGGTATCTTTCACGTTAGCGGAGATTTTCAGTCAGTAAAACGTGTGAACAAACACAGTAATTGCTAGGATCTGAAGTGACCAAATGGGGTAAGATGTAGGTAATAACGATGCTGAATACAACAGTGATACACTAGAAGTTGAACGCCCATTTGATTTTACCCCCCCCCCCCGCCCCCACCTCAGTACCACCTTATTCTTCACTGAGTCACGCAAATATCAAAAGACGAAGGCCGACCTGTGACTGCAAGGATGACGACGATAATTTCATCTGACAAATTATAGCCATATATACAATTCTCCCATGCATAGAAATGTTCTAGGTCAAAGACAGAGAAGCACAATCTTATTGGCTACCGAATCAACCAATCAGGTTATTACGTCCATATATAGACATTAATCTAAATCTGAAACGAAAAACACTTCTACCTCAACAACCAATAACCGTTTTTGGACGCTTCCTATGAGAAATCATATATATATATATATATATATATATATATATATATATATATATATATATATATATATATATATATATATATATATATATAGGTACGCTGGTCGATCTGGCAATAATTTTCTCAAGAAAATTCAAATAAACAACCGTAAAATAATTGAACGTTGATAATTACATTGTCTCATTTCCCTCAGAAACTACTGAATACAGTGCTAAGAACGAACTGAACCCAGTAAACTATTGAAAAGTAGGAGTAGTGATAGTAGTAGCCTTCAAGCGTTCTTAAACCTACGAAGTCGAGGTTCCACTCGACAGTATGGCCTGCGATGTGATGTCCTCAAATGGTCTACTCAGTGTATGTCCAATACAATCCATCTCCACTTTCGTCTGCATATTTGTTGGGCGATAGGTTCTCGGTTGGTTGGTTGACACGTCACAGTGAGTTCCTCCTTGCTTATTCTCTCTGGCCATCTGATCTTCAGTATTGAGCGTAGGCGGCAACTGTTGATGTACGTCTGTAGTTTGTTGGAAATGCCATTCGTAACGCGCCAAGTCTCTCAACCATCACATGCAAGCACTTCCTTAAAGGAATCAAAGTTAAAAATCAGGATCTTGTTCACGCTTTATGCTCAGAGCAGTGTAGTAGATCTTCACACTGATTCCAGCTTACAGAAAGTCTGTCTTGCTTTCCCGATCCTTGCTTTGACGTCCTCATCTGTGCATGTGCAGCCTGTACTTGAGAAGATGCTGACTTGGTAGACAGGTAGGTGAGAGAGACAACTTCCTTTAGATTGCTCCCATTGATGGGGATTGTTGCTGTTGGTTGAATATCTTCATCACCTCTGTCTTCTCTACACTTACCTGAAGAAAGTCTAATCTTCGCTGCCCTCCCTCTTCTACCAACTTGTTAACTTTCGAGATTTGCGACAAGATATTAGACACAAATCATCATGAGTGAAATCCAAATCTTCTAGGATCTTCTCATCGGTCCACCCAGAGTGTGCCCCTCTTCTCACCCCTCACTGTTGCTTCTTGCGTGATCTAGTCCAGTCGACCACAATCAGGAAGATCATCGGTGATAGTAGACAGCAAACTTGTCTTACTCCTGTCTTCACTTCACTTCACTTCAAAGGCGTCATTGAGCCTTCCATTGTGAATCACTCGGCAAGTAGCATCACTCACCATATAGCTGTTGAATGAGGTTGATAAAGGTTTGTGGCACTAAACCATAGTGTTGAAGTAGCTGCCTGTCAAATTACTTGTCGTTCGATGCCTCGATCGAAGGTCTTTCACAGTCGATGAAGTTGAAGTATGGATCCATTTGATTGCCATTCTATGCTGTGTTGTATGATGATGCGTAGCGTGGCGTTACAATTTGATCCTCATATAATTTGTACTTCCTGAATCCAGCCAGCACACTTTTCCGGTAGTAATTTTGAATGCAGAGCATTTTTGAGTCTCTCCAGGATGATTTGGCACAATATTTTGCTTTGGGTGGAAAGGGTTTGAGCATGATTCCGCGCCTTAGGTTGCCGTTGATTGAAAGTTTGACAAGGTGGCCCTCCTTCTAATCAGCAGGTACTTTTCTTTCCTTCCAAACCTTCTGCAATATTGGTGTGAGCTTTCCGCTGTTGTCTCTGAGTCTAATTTAGTGCTTCTAGTGGAATACCATTTGGTCTTGCTGCTTTCACAGCTTTCAGCAACTTTATGACCGAGTGCTTCTCGACCCATGATCAGTTCTCTCCTTGTGTTGTCCGCTCCCAGTTTGGCATTCATGTCACCCCACTCATTAGAATTTTGATGTCGCCAACTTGGGTGGGGTCTTTCCAGTACTGATTGCAGTTGTCTGTAGAATTCCTCCTTCTCCTCTTCACCTGCATTATTTGTAGCTGCGTAGCGTAGCATTGTACGATTGTGACTTTCCTTCTTTTTGAGTTCAATCTTGCTGTCATTATCCTGATCGTGAAGGAGATTGGTTCCCACTGCATGCGAGTGATCCTTTGATGCTCTTGGAGACATCACGATAGGCACTCCAAAACTCAGTGTTTTTGTGGTTGTCGTGTGGGTGACAATATCAGAGTAGATTATTGACTGTTCAGTTGACAGTTTGGAGAGTCCCCTTCCATTCCATCTGCTTTCGCAGATTCCAAACACTTCTATGCCATACTTTCTCATCTGTTTTGCAATCAGGGCAGACTTGCCAGCCAGCTTCATACATGGTGTGGACATCTTATGTCCTCATGTTTACTTCCACTTTCATCGAGAGAAGACAGATCGGCCAATCGGCTTCCTGAAGACTTTCAACAACCGATGTGATTTCATCTCACCGATTGCAGTGGGGAATTAGTTTGCTTTTATTGTTTATATTTTCTTTGTGATTTGAAGTTTCTTTAGCGGTTGGATTTGTTTTCCGGAGTAGTGTTGCTAGCCCTACGTCTAACCTTTTCTCTCTATCCGGGCTTAGGACTGGCTAGTAACTGGTTAACTAGGCAGGGTTCGAATGAGGTAAAGAGTAATTCTAAAGAGGAATACCAGAGACTTCGAAAGAATACACCGAGGAAAATCAATGAAGTGACAGAAACAGAAAGACAGTTTATTGGAAATAAAAGACAGATATGAGTAGATGCCATGAGGATTAGTTGTCGTTTCCGTGGTAAACAGACACACCTATCCCCACCAGTGATAAATCACATTTCATGGATATGCTATGAATTAAATCCATGGCTTAATGGAACATTCGATATGAACTACTTACTATACAGTAGTTTTGGAGTGAATAATAATATTTTCAAAACTTTCCTTATCTGACAAACCATTTGTTGCCCTCATAGACATCTTAGTCAGTGAAGATGACCGTTTTCTGTTACTTGCAAAATATCAACTATGTACTCGTCATTGATGTTTAATAATTTACACTTGTGTAAATTATCTGTTAGCAGATACATTTGAATGTAAGCTGAGTGAAAGTATTCAATTAGTTTGTTTTTTCAATGCTAGTTTTCTTCAAGTTTTTTAGTCTTTGTCTTTTGTTGTTGTTTTTTTCTTTAAATATTTGTGTGTAAGCACCATTTTCTTTTTGGGATTTGGTGTTTTTATTCAAAAAATTTCAAGATTTTGTTTTTCATCAGTAGATTTTTAAATTGATACTGGCGCATTGCATATCTTTTAAGTAATTTGATGCATTTAAACAAACAATTTTTAGTGTACAATATGCGTATCTTCTTTAAAGCAGTTCAGCGTAAACTCATATTATACAGTCAAAATCTGTACTCTAAGGTCCATTCCACCTTTAGTCTAAGTAGTCGATTAGTAATAATACTTCGTTATTTCGCTAATCTTTCCGTCTAGCCTTAGATAGAAAGAAAGTAAAATCTTCACGAAGTATTTGGTGTAATACTAAAGGGGAACCTAGTTTTCATCCTCTCCAAGGACGGTCTGTTGTGCCAAGATATGGTTTACTTCCAATGAAGGAAGACAGTAGTTCAGTGATTTCACCCTTTTCGTCGAGAAAATGAACAAATATCTCCTCGTGTCATTCACCAGTATTGAAGGTTGCAAAGTGATCACAGCGTTCGATTCTGTGCACTGGAATGTGTAAGATGAGCGTTTTCATAGCACTTTGGAGCAGTGCTTTAGGCTGAAGGATAGTTGTGAAGGACTACCATGACTAGGCTATACTTCGTGTTGGTTTTCTATAATTTGTAAAAAATCTGATGTTCTCGAGCTAAGTTTATAGTTTATTTCAGCCAACTCATACATTTTTTGAAAAGAATGTAGAGCTTAAAATCGCCTCTTTTTATGTCTTCATAGCATTTTTCTATCTGAAGTGAAGTTCAGTGTAGTGAATGTTAAATGTTTACACAAAGTTATTCACTTCACTTATCAAGTTGATAAAATTTCTAAACATATTTCATACTACTTATCATTATTAGAAAGTAACATATTTGTTTTCTGCTGTAGATTTCACATTTGATGGATTCAGTCTGGAGTCGTGCCGAAGTATGATTGCTATGATGGACGTATCTTTTTTTAATCTTGAACAATGACTCTTATTACATTTTCATTTAATATTTTACTGTTCCCATCATAAGGAATGTTCCTTATTTCTACACGGGGACAAACAGACCACTGTAGTTGTGCAAACAGCTAGTAGTCAGAAAACGACTGATATCAAAGTAGAAAAAGGTGTAAGGGAGAAGGTGGTATTTGAAAAACAAAGCTGGCCAATATATCCACGCTTTGAAAGATGTCAGACAGTGAATATATTGACGCCATTGTGACCGAATTTAAGCAATATACACCAGAGTTTCTAAATTTCTTCTCGAGGACCCCAGCTACGTTGCATACACTTCCGTATACCTACAAGATTGACAGTCAAAAAAAGCGTAAACTGGTGACTTGACATAGTCTACCATACTTCACTTTCTGCCAACATAATCCAATTTCTTCGTTTAATTGTTTGTATATCATAACGTTGTTGATTGAACCGAATTGATGGGTTTCGATTGGTGTATGGGCCCCTGTGTGGATGCTTCGATATTACCTGTACTATAATGAAAGTAATGATGTATGGTGGCTAGCAGTGGAACCCAAGATGAACATTTTGTCCTATTTAGGACTCGTCCAATCACGATGGTATCATATAAAAACAATTATACTAAAAACTATACCCGTCGCACAAGAAGTGGCTATCGTGGCTCGGTGGTGTAGTGAATCACACTCTGGCGTTTGGAGCGATCGCTCCCGAGTCCAAATCCTGGTGGGAACAGGATCATTCAGCTGGAAGCAGGTACATCCAGCTAACAAGTCCCAAATAGGACGAAATGTGCACCCTGAAGTTCACAACCTCATCAAGTCATAAAACGTTTATCATGATAACAGGATAATAGAATGCTGTGAAAATCGTTCAGAACAGCCTCTTAAAATTCAATTCATACTTTTTGACTACTTATGAGTAGTTTACATGTATGAACATATTTGAAGATTGTCATTCGTGAAGTTTATGAATTCTGATTTTTTTTTTATTCATTACTGTGCTTAATTGTGTATTCGGAGTTTTGTTGTAATGTTGAACTATTAGTTTTATGAGATTCTTGTCATATTCTCCTTAAACAAGTTATTTATCTCTAGTTTGATCGATCTGGTATGTTAAGTTTCTCTGAATTCCGAAAATTATGGGATCTCTTACGTGTTTGGAAGGTAAACAAATTATTTTGATTTGTGCATAATCTATCAATTTCCTGTTATATGAAATTTGTTTTTCATTCTCTTTGTCCTATTCTAAGTAGGTTCACTAAAGATATGCAGAGATACTAAAATTCCCACAGAAACAGAATAAATTTCGACTGCAATACTATAATCACTTGAAACTCTAAGTTTCATCAGTTGAATAGCTCTGAAAAATCCGTCTTATTAATGTATATAAGTGTAATTAATAGAAGGGTAATGTATTCTTCAACTGTTCAGCATATCTGAGGCGTAGAGTTCATAGATTCTTCCATCAATTTTTTCAGTAGAATTTCAATTGGAAATATCTGGATGAATCAGCAAAATATGCTGATATCGTTTATTAAAGAGATGAGTATGAAATCAACTATAATACTGTGATAGGTGTATTGGGTGCTATTGATTAGAATGGATATACGTTGTATATGATAAAAGGTGGACAGAAGTCAGAGATAATTAAGAGCGATGGGTAAATATTCTGCACAGAGAAACTTAAGAGTTAACGAAATGAAACACATTGTGCAAATAAATATTTCAATGGAAACGTTACCATTATCTCATCAGTGATAAACAAAGTGTCATGATAAACACTTTCCTTTGACGTCTTCTCACAATCAGTGTCTCAGATAAAGGTGCTATGTATGATAGAATGTGAATAAATGATCACGAGATCATGTGTCTAATAGACACGGGAGTGGCAGTCTTGCCAATAGATATGAATCAGTCTCAGAATATAACACAATGTGAGCTAATGGTTCACATGGTTGGGAGACATGCATTAGAAATCTCAGGCTTATCAAATTGTGTTGTCGAGATCGGAAGTCGGAAAATTAGATTTCTATTCATTTTCATAGCGTATCTCCAACGGACAATAGTAGGTGCTGATTTTTTGAAAGAAGTGGGTACAGTGATTAACACGAGAACAGGAATAAAGGCGACAAAGTACAAGTCCTTCACCAGGCAGGAAAGCAGCCAGGTAGCAAAGGGTAAAGTATCAAAATCACTGAACCCAGAAGCGCCAAACATCGTGAATTTGGTTAAGAAATACGAGAGGCTCTTTACAGAAGATGAAGACCTTTATGGATACTGTTACAAAGTTCAGAATGAAATCCCATTGACAAGTCAAGGAATGACAAAACTTATAACACGTCAAATACCATCTCATTTAGAAGGAGAAGAACTTGGGAGCCAGGTCCACGATATACTGAATGGAGGTACTGTTGAAGAGGCTGATAGCCCATACAGTTTGCTAGTGCTTTTTATAAGAAAGTTCAGTGAGAAATATAGATTCCTTGTAGATTTGCTAGAGTTAAATGCCATAACGAAACTGAAGCCCTGTGCCATGCCAATGGCACCTGAAATACTGGATCGTTTACAGAATGCAAAAGTATTTACAGTTCTAAAATATTGTAAGCTTGACGTATATGTATTCCTTTTTTTCAAAGGTTTTGAAGCTTAGCTAGTGTTTATTTTATTCTATGATTGTTTTGACTTACAGTCAGCATTCAGACAATTCGATACGGATAAAAGTGGTTCAATGAATTCGATTGAATTGAGAAATGCATTAAAACATGTTGGTATGTTCAGTTCCTCATTGGATCTCATATAATTGGTATTTTTCTTTATCAAGGCTACTTTTTTGTATTTCTTCAGGGTACATTATCTTCCAGCTGACGAGTCTCAAAAAGGACGAAACGCGCGTCCTGGATTCTTCTGCTGGTCACAACTAACCAATTTATAGTACATTATCATTGTTTAAACTTTAAAAAATTTAATTTTGGCGGGAAATTTGAACTCTCTTCTTTTGAGAATAATTGTAATTTCATCATGGAAATGATCTAGAGTGCTTTGAAGTCAGTAAAGTGTGAAGATTGAATTTGAAGTGTTGGTTGTATGTATAGAATAATGCTACTGAATTCATTCTATATGCCTATGCCAATTGGATTGGAAAAATAAGTCAATAGTTAACTTGTAGAGGTGATGTAATATTCCCAGAATCGATCTGAAACGTTAGCCAGTGAAAACGACAGCGTTTTCTCTAGTTCAAAGTTTCATTTTGTCTCACAAGAACCATTTGTCATTTGAATAAAACCTCAAGGTCATGCTTAGTAGGTTTTGCAAGAGAAAATCTACGACATACTTTCTAGCCCATTCAGGACTGACCAGTTGCATATACTCGTCATACATTGAGTGATTTTATTTATTACTGCGGCTTCAAAACTAAGCGGCATCGCTTGAATACCAGAACCTTATTGAGTCATAATACTCGTTGCTTGTGCGATGGTCATAGTAGCTGATCCATCCGGTTCAGTTAGCGGCAAGAAACTACAAGTTGTAACACCGAACTGGCTGCTAGTTTGTGAAACTCAAAAATCTGAAGGCTTATCGATATTATTGGGTGATGATTGTAGGTGGAATGAAAACTTGAACCATGGACGGATTCAAACCAACGACCATTAGGTTTCCAGCCCGATGCTCTACCAACTGAGCTACAACGTCCGGTGGTTGACCAGATTTTTATTTCACTTTAATCACAAGCGGGGTTTCGCTAGACTGCCATGTGAATTCGTGACGCGTTACTAACGCTTGATCTGGACCGTGGCCGGATTCAAACCAGCGACCAGTAAGTTTCCTGTCCGATGCTGTACCAACTGGCCTACGAGGTCTGACTGCAGGAAACTTAGTCTTTCTCAAGTTGGAATTAATCATGGACTGATATCAGTTGGAGGAACATTGGAAACGTGGGAGCACTAGACAGCCAGCTGTCTGGTCCTAGCGTGGGACTCTTCAGCAGTACACACCCATGACCCCATTAGGCCAGGGATCGAACCCAGTGCTTTCAGGTCCAGTGGCCAGCACGTTACCATTGAGTTAGCCACTTTGTCGGAATCCAATGATCCATGTGTTCAACTTCTATCAGTTCACGATATAGCGCGACCGCCATCCGATGTCATCGTTGAGTATTTCTTTTCATGGCCACCAGACTTGCCCCACTGGTGACAATTTCTAATTGAGATTTTGGAAATCACCTCTTGAAGGTACTCACCAATGAGCACTGGATTAATTCAATTTGGGGAGTTGTTGGGATGTACTGGTTTCAAAGTTGATATTCATCATGGACTGACACCGGTTGGAGAAACATTGGAAACCTAGGAGCACCCTGTCTTTGTTTACAGAAAAAGTTTATGCAGCCTTTATCTCTTCCTTCGTCAGAAAAAACCTAATCAATAACTTCAGTTTTCATCCTCTTCCGCCTTTCTTCACTCCTTTCACATACATGTTTATTTGTTTGTTCTCGACTTTGATTAGTTACACATTTCACTCTTTAGTATTATGTAACTTTTATTTCTCTAAGTTTTGATAGACACATCGTCTAAATGTTTGCAGTACCATGCTGTCCCCATTATTCTTGTCACCATTGAAATAATTATTATTGTTGTCTAGATATCTACTATTTGCATCTCTCAGATCTTACTTACTACAGTCTATAGAATACACCATGATTGAATTAGTATTTTGTAATAAATCGGTTGGTTGTGGCTAGCAGGAGAATCTAGGACACGCGTTTCGCCCTACTTGGGACTCGTCAGCTGGGTGTACTTGCACCCCACTGCTGTTCCCACCGGGACTCGAACCCCTTGCCCATCGGTCCGAACGCCAAGGCGCTATCCACTATGCCATGGAGGAACGGTAGCGGCTTCTTGTACAACAGATAGTTATTACTATTTATTGACATACTTGTTATCCTCTGTTGTTTGTTGTGTTGGATCGAATTGTTCGACCTCTATTGGTATATGGGCTCCTATGTGGATACCTCGATATTGCCTGAATTTTAATTATGATAAATTGGTTGGTTGTGGCTAGCAGAAGAATCCAGGACGCGCATTTCGTCCTATTTGGGACTCGTCAACTGCATGTACCTGCACCCTAGTGATGTTGTTCCCACTGGGACTATGTATATTAGCGTAAAGCTTGATGAGAGCTAATTGAAAACAAGACTGTTCGCAAATATATCTTCGTCTAATTTTAACAATTGGAAGTTTTAACAACTACCGGACGCACTAGTAACTCAGTGACTTAACAATGGAAAATTAGTTAACTTGTTCTAGGGTGGTGTTGTTGTTGTTTTGGTTACCTTTCAGCGTCAATCAATTACTGACCTATTTCAGTTAGGTTGGTAGACCATATAATTAATGAAGTGACCGAGTGAATAGTCATAAAAAGTACGCGAACGATATTCACGCAATGAAGCACCATTTATGCACAGTTTTCATGAATATATAAAACCATTAGGTCAAAGGTTAAATACTTTATTCTGATTGGTCAATTGTAGGTCGAAATTGTCCAATAAGTTTTCTCCTGATCATATAGCTATAAGAGGCAAAAATCGATATAGAAAAATCTTCTACCTTAGCGGTTGATGAGCCTTAAAATGTTGATTTGGAATTAGGCCGCTTCTTATCAATTGGTTTATCTGTATGGCAACAGTTCGAATCCAGCCGCCAACTGGATTTCATTTAAACTTGAAACATCAACTTTCCTTATATGACGGTCATCTTCTACAATACCAGTTAATCTAGACTACTGTTTACCTTAATTTGAAATGATTTCAATATTTTCTTTTACTCAATATTTTTCTTGTTTTTCAGGTTTCTCTATTACTAATGCAATATTTTCTACATTGGTAATGCGTTTTGCACGTCGAGACGGTAGTGTACCATTCGATAATTATGTGATATGCTGTGCACGTCTTCAAACATTATTTGAAGTTTTCAAAGCAACACCGAAAAATCAAAATGCTCAAGCATTGTTCACTGAAAGTGAGGTAAGTTGTGACTGATAATGAATGACCTTGATGGTTGAAGATTTTGACCTTGTTCAGCTTAAACAAACATTCTGCACTGAACAATTGAAAACACATTGGACCAATAAACGAAGATCACGGGTTAATGATAGTGACTCTGAGCGACCAGTGATGAACAGTGTCGAAGCAATGGGAATACTGATGAAGTTCATCAGAATTAGATAAAAACCGCTTCATAGTTTCTTCTGATATCCATTATGGCTGTAAATAACATTGTTCAAGGAAGTCGGTGAAAAATTACCAAGTTCAATCTTTTCCTGATTCACCTAGCTAGAACAGTCGTAGAATTAGAAGTTTTGTGGATAAAGTATAAAAACATTTTTTTAGAGGCATGCGTTGTACCGTCCATAGAAAAGGTATTAATGTTTTGGACGTGAGGTAGGTTAGGGGGTAGGATTAGATTGCTAATCCAAGGATGATTTGGAAACACTAGTGTCATGACCGGTCTTCTAGCGATATGACAAGACAGAGAGAAGATAGACTATTGATGGAGGGCTTTCTACTGTCTGAATATATGCATTTCTGAATGACCTTGACAGCACTAAATCCACATATATGTAAAAATGTTTAACAACCAATGAGAGCTCAACCTTGAGAGGAGAGAGGAGAAAAACTAGTGACGATGTGATAACAGATATGTAGATTATTTTAAGGTCATGGGTAAAGCAGCAGGCAAAAGCTATGAGAAATTAGGGGTATATAGCAACTGAATGTTGTAATTATCTGAGAAATTGATCAACTAGGCAGTTGTAGTTATAGATTGGAGGTAAGTTTAGAAACTAGATGACCTGAAGTTTATCAATCTGTAATTATCCTTAATAGCTTACCATTTGGTTCCGGGAAGTATATTCTAACAAATGCTTCAACTTGAAGTGTCGTGAAGACTATTTTTTTAAGTTTTTAGCATTGAAAGCCTTTAACAGAGTGGAGATTCAAATTGTGACTAGGCGTCAGTACATATCAGAATGTACATATAATTTCTTCTCCCTTTTATTGATTTAAGAATAAAGTGAGTAAAGATTTCAGGATACCACTTGACGATCTATACTTGTTTTCAAATTCTAAGTGGAATATGCATAACAATACGGTTGTTCTACTTTCCTTCAGAAAAATAAAATTGGTTTTAAGTTGGTATTCATCAAAGATTGACAATAATTAGGAGATCTGTTGAAAACTTGAAGGTGATGAGCATCTTTTTCATCCTGGTCTGCGACCCCTTGCTAGTATTCACCCATAACTCAACCAGGGTTGGAAATCAGGATGATCAATTTACAAATTACAAGGTTCGCGTTAACATTTCTCACAGTTGAGTAGTTTTTCAACTACCCAACTATGTTGTCAACAAGATTTCACTTGGAAATCATCTAACCGTAAAAATTCGACTCTGTGAGATAAATTCATCTGGATACACTGCTGATGAGCCTGACTACAAACGAGTGAAGCAGCCATCCAATGTTTATGTTATTCTGACCTAACTGACGAAATCTTCAAATCAGCCTGATTGGTTTCTAAGTGCTCATGTTGTTCTCTTGTATGTTTTATGACACTGTTTCTGCCTGGTGTTCGGTGGTGGTGGTGATGGTGATTAACTTTCATGCATAACTTTTCTTCAGTCACATCACAACCTTGTTGGCACACATTTACTTGAAGATGATGTGAAAACTGTTCGTGCAGAGTTTGAAATGGAATTGGAAGACATTTGTTCGTTCTGTCTATAGGTATTATGCATCAACTTGTTCAGGACGACCTCGGCTGAAGGTTGAAACTAGAATTGAAAGAAACCCTTTAGGAAACAAGTAGATTTCTATAAGTTAGGTTGTTAACAATCACCAATCTCATTCACCCAATAAACTGGATGATGAAATCAGTGGTTATCTGGCTTAATATAATGTTAAGCATACACACTGTTAATTTGTTGCAGAAGAAAACATTTATCCGCATTGTTTTTCTCCTTTTTTTTCCTAAAAAAACATTACAGTTTGTCAACACTGTACTCTACATGTGAGCGATGTATCTGAAGTCAATAATTCGGAGAACAGGCGAAGGGGACTGAATACATTATCCTTATTACATTAATCAATGTGCTGTTTACTAGTGATATGGTTTTGTTTTAGTAGCGCTAGAAATGGCTTTAAAATGAATATTTATAACCTATATTTATCTACATATATATGTGCTTGTATTGAATATATATTCTGAAATTTTTGCTCTCCTTCTTATTCATTTTTATCTGTATACTCTTTCTTTACATTTATCTATTCATGCTTGTTTAAAACAGATTTAATATTGTTATCGAAAATATTCAAAAGTTGCGCCATTCTACTTTTCGTGTTCAATGTTTCAATATCCATTTTATACATGTTGTTGAACAAGTCCAATGCATTCATACTTTTCCCTCTATATGAATTAATGAATTACTGAAGAATGCAGACATTTTTTTTCGTTTTCAGTTTCTATTGTCTCTTTTGGTGTTAACACAAAGGAGGCTAAATGTTTGTTTTTTGCTTCTCAAAAAACATCATAAATAACTTTTGTTTTCTGTTCTGCTTTATGTTAAAGTGACTTAACTATACTTTTGACTGTTAGACTACTGATATACGATAAAATTGGTAGCATCTGGTGAAAACTTCAGAAATTGTAAATACTAAGGAGTTTAATTACAGTGCAGTCATAAAAAAGTATGTGATGCACAATTTTTTCCAATATCATAGCTTGTAATTTCACCTTCGATGATTGGATCAATGTTCACTAGCCTCTGGTAGTATATAGGCTGCAACGTGGATGCCTTGATATTGCCAACAATTTCAGTTCAACAGTAAGTGATCGATTCTTGGTGGAAAAAACACCATCCACTGGAAGGTAGTAGATATATCCAGTTGATGAATGAGTACCAGATAGGAAAAAAACATTTTTTAGCAATCAGTCCTCTTGCTAGCCATTATCTATCCTCAATATGGAACATCAATTGGTAGAGTGTTACAAATTTGGATTTCATGGTTTTTCAATATTCATCAGGATCTTGAACTAAAAATGTTCATCAATCTGACCTTGTTGACAATATATTGAAATGAATGAGAATGGAGAATTGTTTGCAGAATTCTGTGCATTCAACGATTTGGTGATTGGAGGCAGTGTGTTCAAGCACAAGGATATCCACAAAGCGACATGGATTTCACCAGATGGACACACTACACTAAAAATCAGATCGACTTTATCTCAATCTCAAGAAAATAGAGACTCAGTCTACTTGACACAAGATCAAGAAGAGGAGCAGATGTAGGTTCACACCACTCACTATCTAGTGCAAGGAACCTTCCAAATCAAGTTAAAAGCCTTCAAGGAAGCTGGTGATAGACCTCAATTCAAGTACAACACTCGGAAACTGAAGGATGAAACTACAAAGGAGATCTTCACGGCAGCCATCAAGACAAAATGGGAGACATCGAGCAACATCCCTGAAGAAACCTTTGTGGAAGAACACTGGAAGTCTTTGAAAGCTATGTGGAAAGAAACCTGCACAACAGTATTAGGAAGGAAGAAGAAAGAAGACAAGGAATGGATCTCGACGGATACATGGAAGCTGATAGAGGAGAGGAGGATGGTGAAGCAGAAGATAAACCAGTGCAAGGATGCTCAACGACAAGAGGAACTGAGCACAATGTATAAAACACTGAACAAAGAAGTAAAGAAGAGTGCACGCAAAGACAAACGACACTTCTACGAAACACTGGCAAGTGAAGCAGAACAGGCTGCATGCTGGTAAGAGAGACCTGACGACATTGTATCAAATAACCAGGTTGCTATCAGGGAAGAGACCAACACAGATGAAACCAATAAAAGATGAAGAGGGAAATTTAATTACGAAAGAAGAGAAGCAGAGGAAACGATGGGCCGACCACTTCAAGAAGCTCTTGAATCGACCACCATCACAACCTGCACTTCGTCCAGAAATACCACCTGCAGCCGCTGAATTACAATTGAACATAAATCCTCCAACAAAAATGGAAGCCCTGAACGCCATAAAGCTAGTGAATTGCGGGAAAGCAGCAGGATCAGATGGGATCTCGCCAAAAGCACTGAGAGCAGACGCAGAGACAACAGCGGACATGCTCACACCACACCACTATTGCAGAAGGTGTGGAAGGAAGAGAAGGTACCTGGTGATTGGAAGAAGGGTTACCTTGTCAAACTGCCGAAGAAGGGAGACCTCAGTGCTTGCAAGAACTGGCGCGGAATCACTCTCCTGTCCACCCAATGCAAGCAAAATATTAAGCCGCATCATCCTGGAGAGGCTTAAAGATGCACTGGATTCAAAACTACGACCGGAACAGGCAGGCTTCAGGAAGTACAAATCATGTGCTGACCAAATTGCAACGCTTCGTATCATCATAGAACAGAGCATAGAATGGCAATCAGCTCTCTACCTCAACTTCATCGACTTTGAGAAGGCCTTTGACAGCGTCGACCGAGAAGTAATTTGGAAACTGCTTCAATACTACGGAGTACCGCAAACCTTTATCCGCCTCATTCAACAACTATATGAAGATGCCACATGCCAAGTAATCACAATGGGAAGCTCAGTGATGCCTTTGAAGTGAAGACAGGAGTGAAACAAGGTTGCCTACTATCCCCCATGATATTCCTGATTGTGGTGGACTGGATCATGCAGCAAACAGTAGGCAGCGAGAAGAGGGGGATACACTGGACGACGGAAAAGAACCTAGAAGACTTGGATTTCGCCGATGACTTATGCCTAATGTCACATAAACTTGAAGATCTGCAGGCAAAAACTAACAAGTTGACAGAGGAGGCAGCTAAGACGGGACTTCAGGTGAATATAGAGAAGACAGAAGTGATGAAGATACCGCACCACCACCATCAACAACAACAACAAACTCCAGTCACCATCAACGGGAGAAACTTAAAGGAAGTAACCTCCTTCACCTATAAAAGAAGCACTGTTTCAACTACAGGCGACACAAGCACAGACGACAATGTCAAAGTCAGAATTGGAAAAGCAAGACAGGCGTTCATCAGCCTGAAACCAGTGTGGAGATCTTCTGCACTCAGCATGCGGAACAAGATACGGATTTTCAACACCAACTAAGTCAAGTCAGTGCTCCTATATGATGGTTGAGAGACTTGGCGCGTCACGAAAGGGATTTCCAATAAACTACAGACATTCATCAACAACTGCTTACGCTGGCTCGCTACTGAAGATCAGATGGATTGCCAGAAAGAATAAGCAACAAGGAGCTGTGGGAACGAACCAACCAAGAACCTATGGCTCAACAAATATGTAGAAGGAAGTGGAGATGGATTGGCCATACACTGAGAAAGCCGACTGGGGACATCACGCATCAGGCCAGTTGCTCGAGTTGAAGCGAGTTGGGCGTCTGCGTGAGGGTGACATGGAGGAGGTCGTGCGAGGAGGAAATGAGAGCTACTGGGCTGTCGTGGGACCAGGTTCCAAAGATCTCAGAGAACACAGGTCACTGGAGGCGTGCTACTGAAGCCCTATGTTCCACTAGGAACCCAAGGGACTAATAATAATAATCTAAGATCTTTGGCGTAATAGTAAATTGGCAGTACTGATTACCACAGAAGTTTATTGTTTTTCGCATCTATCTTTCTGTAAACCGTTAGTAATGTCTCCACATGTAAATGTTAAGGTGTATACTGAGCAGCGAATTGTACGGTTTATTCATCACTTCTCAAAAGCCACACCATAAAGGTTATGAGATTCTGTGAAACATGAAGCAATACAGACTTTTAAACTACTCAGAAAAAGTTTCGCTTAGTCTATTCGATAAATAATGTTATATTATTGAGGTAATTCATTGCAAGCATTATTGTGTTGTGAAACATGCTTACAACCGGAAGCTCTATCCGGTAGACTTATCATTAGTCTATTCAGGTAGCCCACTGTAGGTTACTTACTAAAGTGGGCTCTAGGCTTGTGTTTCAATATCATCTACAGATAACTTGCACGAGACGACGGTGTATCAAGAAGGTTTGTGATCACGATCTCATAATTCGTCATGTCATCGTACACAATTCAAAAATTGTATCCTGATGTGACCGAGTGGTGGGGTTGCGTGCGTGGGTTTAGTGATACTGAGACTCAATAGACACCTCAACCGAATACCTTTACGATTGACCCCCCTCAGTACCTTCTGCTTCACTGAGCCATGGAGAAACCACAAGACAAAGACGACCTGTGAATGCAACAACAGCGTCAACCACTTTTATTCGACAAATACGTGACATATATGTAGTTATAAAACTCTCAGAAAGTGAACTATAAATGAACCAATCAGATTTCTTGTACGAGGTCAAATTCCTCCAATCAGGTTCTCATGTCAACGTATGCATAAATCATGACCTAAAAACTTCCCTATTGGCTGCCTTCTAATCGCTACGTATCATATCTACTAGACACCTTCCTTGGTTAGTAAATGTAATTCCAAAAGGTATCTGAATGAACAAAGAATATTCTTATCGACAATTTCTTATTCGGATCGTATCGTTATATTTATGACCTTAGTGTGTAATTTTGTGTCAACAATATTGAAATTTATATCAACAGTTGGGGAATTTTCTTCAGACATTTATATCGGCCACTGTTCCAGGAATTTAATCTTTCGTGCTCGCAAACATCTTCCAGCATGATAGTTATGAAAAGTGTAATAAAAACCACCAACAGCTTAACATTAGGGCATTTACTTCCAACGAACCAGACGGTGGATATGAAATAAGTCATTTTACAGTCTCTACTGGGTTCCCATCACATCAATATTGCAGAAGGTTTGGAAGGAAAGAAAAGTACCTGCTGATTAGAAGGAGGGCCACCTTGTCAAACTTTCAATCAACGGCAACCTAAGGCGCGGAATCATGCTCAAACCCTATCCACCCAAAGCAAAATATTGTGCCAAATCATCCTGGAGAGACTCAAAAATGCTTTGCATTCAAAATTACTACCGGAAAAGATGTGCTGGCTGGATTCAGGAAGTACAAATCATATGAGGATCAAATTGTAACGCCACGCTACGCATCATCATACAACACAGCATAGAATGGCAATCAGATGGATCCATACTTCAACTTCATCGACTGTGAAAAGACCTTCGATCGAGGCATCGAACGACAAGTAATTTGACAGGCAGCTACTTCAACACTATGGTTTAGTGCCACAAACCTTCATCAACCTCATTCAACAGCTATATGGTGAGTGATGCTACTTGCCGAGTGATTCACAATGGAAGGCTCAATGACGCCTTTGAAGTGAAGTGAAGTGAAGACAGGAGTAAGACAAGTTTGCTGTCTACTATCACCGATGATCTTCCTGATTGTGGTCGACTGGACTAGATCACGTAAGAAGCAACAGTGAGGGGTGAGAAGAGGGGCACACTCTGGGTGGACCGATGAGAAGATCCTAGAAGATTTGGATTTCACTCATGATGATTTATGTCTAATATCTTGTCGCAAATCTCGAAAGTTAACAAGTTGGTAGAAGAGGGAGGGCAGCAAAGATTAGACTTTCTTCAGGTAAGTGTAGAGAAGACAGAAGTGATGAAGATACTCAGCCAACAACAGTACCACCAGCAGCAGCAACAATCCCCATCAACGGGAGAAATCTAAAGGAAGTTGTCTCTCTCACCTACCTGTCTACCAAGTCAGCATCGTCTCAAGTACAGGCGGCACATGCACAGATGAGGACGTCAAAGCAAGGATCGGGAAAGCAAGACAGACTTTCTGTAAGCTGGAATCAGTGTGCAGATCTACTACACTGCTCTCAGCATAAAGCGTGAACAAGATCGGATTTTTAACTTTAATTCCGTCAAGGAAGTGTTTGCATGTGATGGTTGAGAGACTTGGCGCGTTACGAAAAGCATTTCCAACAAACTACGGAACAA